CCAATCTTAGAGTAAAAGCTTTTCAATTTTTCACTGTCGAGTATGATATTAGCTGCGGGCTTTTTATATATGACCTCTGTTATGCTTAGGTAATTAGGTGCCCGCCTTCACGCCCAGCTATTTTTTGTATTTTTAGTAGAGATGGGGTTTCACCATGTTAGCCCATGTTGGGATGGTCTCGATCTCCTGACCTTGTAATATTTTGAGGAACTGTATTCCACAGCAGCTGCACCATTTTATATTCCCACCGCAAATGCATGAGGGCTCCAATTTCCCCACATCATTGCCAATCTTTGTATTGTCTGTTTTTTTTTAAATTTTTATTATTTTTTTAATATAGCCATCCCACCAAACAATGCATGTTCTCACTTAAAAGTGGGAGCTGAACAATGAGAACACATGGACACAGGGAGGAGAACAACACACATTGGGGCCTGTTGCGGGAGCAGGGGAAGGGAGAGTATCAGGAAAAATAGCTAATGCTTGCTGGGCTTAATACCTAGGTGATGGGTTGATAAGTGCAGCAAACCACCATGGCACACATTTAGCTATGTAATAAACCTACACATCCTGTACATGTACCCCAGAACTTAAAATAAAATAAAATAATAAAATAAAAATAGCTATCCCAGTTGATGTGAAGTGGTATCTCATGGTGGGTTTGTGGGTTTAAAGTGCATTTCCCTTAAGAGTAAGTATATTAAGCATTTTTTTGTTTACTTATTGGCCATTTGTATATCTTCTTCAGAGAAACATCTATTCAAATTCTTTGCCCTTTTTTTTTTTGAGATGGGCGTCTCGCTCTGTCACCCAGGCTGGAGTGCAATGGTGTGATCTCAGCTCACTGCAGCCTCTGCTTCCCATGTTTAAGCGATTCTCCTGCCTCAGCCTCCCAAGCAGCTGGGATTACAGGTGCCCGCCTTCACGCCCAGCTATTTTTTGTATTTTTAGTAGAGATGGGGTTTCACCATGTTGGCCAGGCTGGTCTTGAATTCCTGATCTCAGGTGATCCACCTGCCTCAGCCTCTCTAAGTGCTGGGACTACAGTTGTGAGCCACTGCCCCCCGCTTCTTTGCCCATTTTAAAAATTGGGTTTTTTTTTCACTCCAGCCTGGGCGACAAAGCGAGACTCTGCCTCAAAAAAAAAAAAAAAAAATTGGGTTTAAAAAAAATTTTTTTTTATTGTTGGGTTGTAAAAGTTCTTTATAAATTTTGGAAATTAGACTTTTTATCAGTGTCATAATTTTTATTGCTATGGTTTCTGGAAATCTGGAGGTAGCAGTGAGCTCAACCAGTGGGGTGGGGGTGAGAGAGAGGACCACAGGACTACGCCTTTATTAAGGTCCATGGATGTTATCCCTTAGGCTTTCCCTCTGGGGTTGTGGATTGGCTAGTTTAAAGAAAACACGTGGAAAGAGGGAACTTATTTTTGCATGACTTATGTTGACCTTTAGGTTTTTTCATGGTCAGCACCTGTGAGATGTGTTGGGTTTGGGTCAGCAGGGTAAGGAACAAGTGGGCTGTATTGCAAACAACTACAAGGGGAAGGAAAGTTTTAACTAGGCCAACAGTAATGGGATATGACTGGACGTCAGACAACTTATGTCAGGCCTAAAAATGGATGCTGAGGCAGCGGCTATATTAAGCAAATTTCTGACAATCAGATATGATTTGCAAGTATTTTATCCCATTGTGAGGATGGTATTTTCATTTTCTTGATAGTCTCCTTTAATGTATACTTTTTTAAAGATAGAAGTAACAAGAGTTAGCATCCTTGCCTTGTTCCCAATCTTAGAGTAAAAGCTTTTCAATTTTTCACTGTCGAGTATGATATTAGCTGCGGGCTTTTTATATATGACCTCTGTTATGCTTAGGTAATTTCCTTCTATTCCTAATTTGTTAAGAGGTTTTTTTTAAATAATGAACAGGTGCTCAATTTTGTCAAATGCTTTTTCTGCATCTGTTGAGCTGATTATGTGATTTTAATCCTTTATTCTGTTAATGTGGAATATCACATTAGTTGATTTTCGTATGTTGAACTATCCTTGCATCCCAGGGATAAATCTCACTTGGTCATGGTATATGACCCTTTCCAAATGTTCATGACATGGATCTTCGCAATGATTTCATGGATAATGACACCAAAAGCACAGGCAACAAAACAAAAAGTAAACAAGTGGGACTACATCAAACCAAAATCTTCTGCACAGCAAAGGAAACAATCAACAGAGTGAAAAGGTAACAACCTACAGAATGGGTGAAAATATCTGCAAATCATATATCAGATCAGGATTTAATCTGTAAAATATATAAGGAATTCTTACAACTCAATGGTAAGAAAAAATTAATAACCTGATTTAAAAATGGGTTAGGAACTGAATAGACATTTTTCCAAAGAAGACATATAAATGGTCAATAGGTATTTGGAAAAATGCTCAATGTCACTAATCATCAGAGAAATAGAAATCAAAACCACAATGAGATATCACCTTATACCAGACAGCATGGCTATCACCAAAAACAAAAAACAAATGCTAAGGAAGTGGATAAATTGAACCCTTGCTGTTTTGTCTCTCTAAACCCTCAAATCCTTGGCTGGAATTACCCCAAAAGCAGTGGCAGGGGGATTTCCCACAAGGGAGTCTCCAATTGTCCTGAGATAGGGCTGGCTGGAATACCAAAGAAAAAAACTCTAAGCTCTAGGGTGACCAGTCCAAAGAATGTATTAGGGAAACTTCCGTTCAGAGTGCTGCAGCAATCGCTGAGACAGAAAAGGAATGTTATACCCAGGTATGTCTGCAGCAAGGAGATCAGAGTCTGGAGTTTCTATGACAGTTTGAGAAATTTGGCTCAAGGCAAGGGGCCAGTTTCAGTGTTTTGAGCAACAACCCAAATACCTTTCTGAGTGCCTGGGAATGTTCAAGGCCCAGTTTGCGTTCAAGCCTGCTGAGAAAAACCTGTAGCCAGCCGGGTCACAGAGTAGTCAAAGTACTCTGTGATTTTTAGTGAGGGCAAAGAAAGAAAGTGGGAAGAACTGGATTACCATACACTTGCCCACTGTTGCTGGGAATGTAAAATGGTGCAGCTGCTATGGTAAATGCTATGGAGGTTCCTCAAGAGATTAAAAATATAACTACTGTGCTTGCTTTGGCAGAACATATACTAAAATTGGAATGATACAGAGAAGATTAACATGGCCCCTGTGCAAAGATGACATGCAAATTTGTGAAGTGGTCCACGGTAAAATAATAATAAATAAACAAATAACAACAAAAAAAAACTATTGTATGAGTCAGCAATCCTACTTCTGGGTGTTTATCCAAAAGAATTGAAGCCAGGTACAGTGGCTCATGTCTGTAATCCCAGCACTTTGGGAGGCCAGGCAGGCCAGGGGTTCAAGACCAGCCTGGCCAACATGGTGAAACTCCATCTCTACTGAAAATACCAAAAAATTAGCCAGGGGTGGTGGAGCACACCTGTAATCCCAGCTACTTGGGCGGCCAAGGCACAGGAATCACTTGAACCCAGGAAGCAGAGGTTGCAGTCAGCTGAGATCACGCAATAGCACTCCAGCCTGGGCAACAGTGAGACTCCTCTGTCTCAAAAAAAAAAAAAAGAAAAAAGAATTGCTATCAAGATCTCAAATAAATATTAGTACCCTAAATTCACTGCAGTACTATTCACAATAGCCAAGATGTGGAAACAAAACGTCCACCACAATGAATAAAGAAAATGTGGTATATACATACAATAGAATACCATTCAGCCTTAAAAGAGAAACCCCTGATTTGTGACAACATGGATGAACCCTGAGGACATTATTCTAAGTGAAATAAGCCAGTCACAGAAAGACCAGTACTGTATGACTCCACTTTTAAGTATGCGGTATTTAAAATAGTCAAATTTGGCCATGTTGGGTGGCTCACGCCTGTAATCCCAGCACTTTGGGAGGCCGAGGCCGGTGGATCAGGAGTTCGAGACCAGCCTGGCCAACAAGGTGAAACCCCATCTCCACAAAAAATACAAAAATTAGCTGGGCATGGTGGCACATGCCTATAACCCCAACTACTCGGGAGGCTGAGGCAGGAGAATAGCTTGAACCTGGGAGGCGGAGGTTGCAATGAGCCAAGATCGTGCTGTTGCACTTCAGCCTGGGCAACAAGAGTGAAACTCTATCTCAAAAAAATAAAAAATAAGAAAAATAAAATAGTCAAATTCATAGTATCAAAGAGTAGAATAACGGTTACCAGGGGCTGGGGTAATAGGAAAACAAGAGGTAACTAATAAAAGGCCATGAAGTTTCAGTCAAGCAAGAGGAATAAGCTCTAGAGATCTGCCGTACAACATTGTACCTGTAGTCAACAATAATGTATTGTACACTTAAAATTGTGTTCATTATCCTTAGCAAACTAACACAAGAACAGAAAATTCCAAAAACTGGGGCTACCTGAGGGTGGAGGTTTGGAGGAGGGAGAGGATCAGAAAAAATAACTATTGGATACTATGCTTAGTATCTGGGGGACAAAATAATCTGTACAACAAACCCCTGTGACATGAGTTTACCTGTATAACAAACCTGCACATGTATGCCTGAACCTAAAATAAAAGTTAGAAAATAATAAATAAATAAATAAAATGTATTATAGCCTTAAAAAAATTTTTTTTCAAAGAGGGTGAATGTCGACCAGGACACACAAGCACAAACTAAAAAAAAAAAAAAGACGACAAAACTCAAACAGAGGATTGGAAATCAACTTTGCCAAGATTTGGATGATTCTGCCGTAGTTATTATAATAAGCAGACTGAATTGAATCATGTAATTTATTTTAAACTAAGTGTAAGACAATGAAAATAAAGTTCAAAAAGACGTAAGGAAGTGATGGTTTTATTGGGCAAACTTATAGGGGTAGTGTATGAAGTCATTTCAAATAACAGATTAAGTTGCTTTCCTTACAACTAAAAGCTTCAATTACTACATTTAAACTTTAATTTAACATTAAATCTACAATGTGAAGCACATCTACATGTGAAGTTTTAATTTCAGGTCTGGAGCAGCTGTAAAATGAAAGTTACCACTCCATTCTAGTCCTCGGATATCAGTATATTCCCCTTCACCTTCTACCCTGCAATAGTAGAAAATAAGTTTTTCATTAACAAAGACAAATAATTTACAGTCCAGATATAAGATTGTCTAGCATAATATATACTATGTCTGAAGCATTATATCTTTCACTTTCAAGCTTTGCTTTTAAACCCAGCATCCTGCCTTCACATACTACAAAAAAAAAAAAGAAAAAAGAAAAAGAAAAAACAAGTACTATTCCAAACACACACAATCAATTATTTGGCGTCCAAGATTTTAGGATCACATAATCTAAGTTCATACAAAACCAAAACAATGAGTTAAAAAAATGAAGAGTTTACATTGGCTCTCTAGCTTAATTACTTCATTTATTCAACAAATATTTCTTGACCATCAATGATGTTTGAGGTGCTATGCCACTGTACGGGCCTCCAACAATTTTTAGAAACTATATTATAAAAGAATATTTAGAATTAACTAAATATAGTATTTAAGCAGCTGGGCACAGTGATTCACACCTGTATACTCAGCACTTTGGCAGGCCGAGGCACGCAGATCACTTGAGGTCAGGAGTTCTAGACCAGCCTGGCCAACATGGTGAAACCCCGTTCCTACTGAAAATACAAAAATTAACTGGGTATGGTGGTGTGCACCTGTGGACCCAGCTACTTGGGTGGCTGAGGCAGGAGAATCGCTTGAACCCAGGAGGCAGAGGTTGCAGTGAGCTGAGATCACTCCACTGCACTCCAGCCTGGATGACAGAGTAAGACTCTGTCTCAATAAATAAATAAGTATTTAAGCAAATGTACCAGAAAATAATCTTTCAGAACTGCAGTGATTTTTTCTTTATTTTAAGCTTACCTATTTTCATTGAAATTTCCAATATACTTTGCCCCAGTTGGGAATGTGTAAGTCCCCAGTCCATGAAACATATTATCCTTAAATTGTCCTTCATATACTGCTCCTGAAAAATGCTCAAGTCTTCCAAAACCATTCATCTGTTTGTAACAAAGGAAATTACCTTAGAAACTAATCTTCAGTTTCCTAAGAACCTTTCAAAAATGTACAAATATAAGTCTATCATCTGCTAATTATTACTTAATCAACGTTGTATTGTCCTTTATTTCCACAGTATAAAGATAACATTTTTATCATTTTCATTCATCTGTGTCTATCTGTGAAGCCCACTAAATCAAATGTTCTGGATCTGGGGCATTTGAACATCAAGGGGTCCATGATGAAGATAATTGGGGTCCTCAAGATACCCTGAATGTATCAGAAATCTTAAAGGGCAACCAGTTTAGTTAGTTCAAGAAACCAGTACAAAGTAGTTGTTAATAATTCAAATTTGGATTCAAGCAGACCAAGGTATACTTTCCTGTTTTATCATTTACTAGGTGGGCAAGAAACCTGAGCCTGATTTTCCTCATTTGTAAAATAGAGTATTAATGGTACCCAGCTCATGAGGGTGTTACGAGGATTAAATGAGAAAATTATGTAACAGATTCAGCTTTACTCAATGAATAGGAGATGAGAAAGATAATAACGATGATTAGCTCTCTGCAGTGAGTTTAATATTACTCATAAGTTAATATGTGTTAATATGATCATTCGTTATTTTTATTATATAGTCTACTCATTATAGGAGTTTTTGATTAATGGTGAAATGCCTGGAATCATTAAACCCACAGGGTTATTTATCCACTGCCAGTATTAAAAACAACAACAATACCTTGTCATCTTTCCAGCTTCCTGTGTAGACAATCCCATTAGGAGTGGTATGAATACCTATTCCATTTCTCTCATAGATTCCAGAAGATGTTCTTGTACAGTCGCCATCTAAACAAAGGAGAAATACTGAAGATTATAAATGAGAAAAGTTATATCTGGGCCTAATCGCAACTACACCTCATGGGTTTCTTTGGCTCCCTAGCACTGAAACCAGTGAGACCCGAGATGAGTAAATCCGTGGACGTACAACATCTTGTAACAATTGAGACTCAAAGGCCAGGAAGATTGACAGATCCCATAGGTTTCCAAGGCATATTGTCTAGAGTTAACAGTGGAGTTTTGATTTTAACATCTCTTTATCTATTAGGATTTCTGTTATCTTAGTTAATAAAGTTAATATCCTAATAGTTTTACAAAATTTAAGTCTCTTTTTTTATTCTTAAGCTATTTAATTTTCTGTACAGAAAAAGTAATTGCAGTGTATGCTTACCATACTTGTCTCCATTTGGAAAGATAAAGCTGATCTTATACACTTCTGAAGCTGTTTTAAAAGATTTAAGAAAAATGACATAAGTTTACTTTTTTTTGATAGAGGCAAGGTTTCACTATGTTGCCAAGGCCAGTCTCAAACTCCTGGGCTCAAGGCATCCTCCCGCCTCAGCCTCCCAAAGTGCTCGGGTTGCAGATGTGAGCTACCACATCCAGCCAAACGTAAATATTCTTATGTCATAAGACCTATAACCAATGTGCTTTCAACACTATCCAAATGGACTTACTTCTTAAGATCACAGCATATCATGATTACTTGGCATTTCCATTGTCTAATGTAGGGTCCTGGGGAAATAAACAATTTTGCCTACATGATCTCCTTTAAAATTTATTTATTATGATAGCATTATTAATATATAATTCACACACCACAAAATCTACCTTTAAAAGATACAATTTCACGTTTTTTAGTAGATTCAGAGTTGTGCAACTATCATCACAATCTAATTTTAGAATATTTTCATTATCCCAGAAAGAAACTCTGTACCCATGAGCAGTTACCCATTACAATTCCCCTCAAACACCCCTCACCCCACAACCCCAAACCCCTGGCAACCACTAATCTACTTTCTGCCTCAAGGATTTGCCTATTCTGGATATTTCCTATAAATGAAATCATACAATATGCGGTCCTTTATGTCTGGCTCTTTTCACTTAATGTTTCCAAGGTTCATCCATGTTGTATCGTGTATCAGTACTTCATTCCTTTTTATAGCCAAGTATATTGTATAAATACGTTGTACAGAAATAGCATATTTTGTTTATTCATTCATCAGTTCATGGACATTTAGGTTGTTTCCAGTTTGGGGCCATTATGAATAATACTGCTATAAACACTGAGGTAAATTTTTAAAACATACAGCTTCCTAGGAGTAAAAAAAAAAAATTGGTGTACAAATTTTTGTGTGGATATGTTTTTATTTCTCTTTGGTAGCCCATATGGTTTACTGATTGTCCCACAGAGGTAAGGCGGAGTGAGGAATCTTTAAATTGGCAGTAGGAAGAAATGGAAAATAAAGATAGCAAGTGGGGAAGGGCTGGTAGGTCCACACAGAATGAGAATGGTATGGAGACCAAGTGAAAAAGGAAGAAAGAGGACCACAAGACTGAGGGGGATTCTGGGCCTCAGATCCCTGGACACTTAGTGGACTAAAACATTAGAAATTGTATTTTCCGATACTGAAGAAAACTTATGTAGAGAGGGTATGCAGGCATATCCTCTGTGGCTCATCCTTCAGAATCACCTGAGATGCTTCTAAGTTTCTTCTCTCTACCCCACATCTACTGAATCAGAGTTTTTATGGGTGGGGCAAGGGAATTTAAAAATTAATTTAGGTGCCAGTTGAGAAAGGCTAGAGGTTCATCCCCTCTGAGGAAACAGAATTAACACAATAGGTAGAGGACTTAAACTGTAATATCCTCAGAGAGAAAGGGAGAGTATTAGTATCTTTGAGATAGGAACAGGTGATTATAAAAAACAAAGAACAATTAGCAATCCAGGAAATGAATAATATAATTGGTGAAATAAAACTTCTTAGAAGGGATGAATAGCAGAATAGATACAGTTGAAAACAAATTAGTGAACTGGAACATTAGGTTGAAAAATGTGCTTAGAAAGTAGCACAAAGTGCGAGTGAGATGGCTGGAAAAATATTTTTTTTAATTAAAAAAAGCAAGTAGCACAAGGAATTTTAAAATAATGGAAAGTGGATCCAAAATGCTACTGTCAGTCTAATAAGAATTCCAGAGGGAAAGAATAAGAGATATTTGAATAAATACCCAAAAATTTCTCAGAACTGAAGAAAATGACTGGACTACAAATGGGAACTAAGCAAAATCCCACACCTAGACAGGTTACAGTAAAATTTCATGACATAAAGACCAAAGGCCAGTTAGGCTAGTTAAAAACAAGCAAACAAAAACCACATTACCTACAATAAACTACAAAGGACTGACATTTGTGTTTGTCTTGTCAAAAAAAAAAAAAAAAAAAAAAAAAAATGGCACTTAACCCAGTGTCTAAACTCTAAATACTAGCTATTGTTTTCTTGTAGCCCCAGGTCAGGTATGGGCTCTCCCACAAAGCCTTTCTTCAACCTCAGACTCCTTCAGGAGCCCTCACAGCACTCTGGGCCTATTTCTACTGTCGTACTTAGGGTTCTAGTAAAACCATGGCTTTGTACCGGGATCCCCTATCCCACCCAGTTCCTCCAGCCCACGAATGGCGGATTAGTCAAATCTCTTCTCACCCTACTGTCCGACTCCGTGTTTAGTACTAATAGTAACAGAACGTCTAGTGAATGAAGGGCACTTCGGAAGCAATCGTTAAATGCCTATGAAGCAGAGCATTAAACGTAATCATATCAGAAACTGGACTGTTTTCAATTGCCGCTAAAATGTTCTACATTCGAAACTTGGGAATGTCAGAGCTAGAGGGAACCTCACAGAGACCGCCCGGCACCATAGCGGAAACTGAGGCCCAGGGAGGTTGGCACGCGCCTCGGGTGTCTCAACAGCGACAGATCAGAGCTAGATTCCCAGACCAAGGGTTCCCCCGTGCCCCTCGGCTAGACGGTTAGGAAATATGTCACACCCCTACAGGAGTTACCGGAGGCCAAGCAAGTTCTGACTCCACGCTAGTTCGACTTAAAGGAGCCCTTCTCTGCCCGGGTCGTTGGGAGGATGGGCACTCACTTGGCCGAGAGGTGTTAGAGAGATCTTCCAAACTCTGCGACTCCCCCTGGGCGGCCAGCTCTGCAGCCGGGAGAGAACTAGGCGCTAGGACAGCTCCAGGTGCGACTTGGTTGCTGGGGCGACCGGGCACCTCTCACCCGGAAGCGAATACGCGAGGGGCTGAAGCTGAGCCAATCGGAAGGCGCCAGGGCTGTGCCGCTGCAGCTGGGCCACCGCAGGGCTGCTCCAAGTGAGAACCGGGAGGGTGGCCAAGCCCTGTGGGGACCTCTGACCCTTGGGCAGCACCTCCCGACAGCTGGCTCGGGACCCAACTCTGCGAGCCAGGTACGTCTTCCACTTCTGCGGACAAGTGATGCGCGTTGTGCGCACGGTCTGCGCGTCGCCCTGTTTGTCAGTGTGTCTGCCGCCTCCTGCTCCAGGAGTGGTCGGGATCTGAGGAGCATCGCGGCCCAGTGTTTCATCCTGTCTGCCTGGGGCCGGTGAATCTGGACCAGCAGGATCCCAGGCCCCGGGACCGGACCAAGGCGGAGCTCTGCCGCTGAGGTTGTGCACGCTCAAACTGCAGTGCGGGGGCGGTGGGGCTAGGAGACGAGGCGTGAAATTCAGGCTTGGAGCAGGCTAAGGGGTTGATTGAAGGGGTCAGGCTCCGTTCCCTGGCTCTGTCTGTGTGGCTTTTTTGGGGAGAAGGGTGGGGACGATGTGAGTTCGAAAAAGGATGCGAGATCTGGATATCTGGATGGAGCTGGCTATATTGTGAGCAGTCAGAGATCTGCCTGGGAGGAGGGTAGTGTGTAGTCACTTTTCAGTGCCTTGGCTGTCAAACAAAGAATACTCTTACAGCCAAACTTAGGTCCCTGTATCCATGGTGAAGAAAGATAGTTGGAATCTTCCCGGGCTAGATGGAATAGATAGTGGAATCTAACCACGTGGATTATACAACCTAATTCCTATTGCCTGGAAAACTCTGGGAGAGTGGTATTGGATACCATTACAGTCAGCAAATCTTCGTTTAAAATTTTGAGCGCATATCTCAGATCTACTTGTAAAAGTAACATTTTCTGGATTGATGTGAGACAACTTGTTTTGAATCAGAGTAAGTATCCTCTTGCTTTTTCCTAATGTTTCTCAGTACACAAATTTACCTGGGCTGCATGGTTTTTGAGAGGAAGTTCTAATCTGTCTGTTTGATTTATTTCCTTTCCGTAAATTTTAGAAATCATAGGTAATTACTGATGCACAACCTTACAGAATTCAGTTTGACCTGTTATTTTTCTTGCCTGTTAAAATTTTAATGACTCTACATTTTTGTGAGTAAAGTTGACATTTGAACAACATGGTTTTGAACTACACGGGCCCACTTATGGGTGGATTTTTTCCAACCCAACACAGATTGAAAATACAGTATTTCAACTAAGCACAGTGGCTCATGCCGGTAATCCCAGCACCTTGGGAGGCCAAGGCGAGAGGATTGCTTGAGCTCAGGAGTACGAGACCAGCTTGGGCAACAAAGCGAAACCTCATCTCTACTAAAAAAATTTTAAAGTAGCTAGGTGTGGTGGTGCGTCTGTGGTCCCAGCTATTCAGGAGGCTGAGGCAGGAGAATTGCTTGAGCCCAGGATATCGAGGCTGCAATAAGCTGTGATCGTACCACTGCACTGCAGCCTGGGTGATACAGCGAGATCCAGTCTCAAAAAAAAAAAAAAAAAGAAAGAAAGAAAAAAGAAAAGACAGTATTCCTGGAATGCAAAACACACATACAGAGGGCCGGCTTTTCCTGTATGCAGATTCTACAGGGCTGACTGGAGGACTTGAGTATCCGTGGATTTTCGTATACATGGGGTTCTGGAACCAATCCCCTGTGTATACTGAGGGATGACTATTTCATGGCTCATTCTCTCAGTTTCTTCCAGATGTCCTTTAAAATGTGATCTCAAAGAGGCCTTACCCAACCACTCTATCTAAAATAACTGCCTCAAGGTTTTTTTTTTTTTCTCGATAACACTTAAGTAATAATATATATTTGTTTAATGTCTGTCTTACCCTCTAGAAGATAAGCTTCATGAAGCAGAAATTTTGTCTTCTTTGCTGTTATATCCCCAGGATCTGGCACATAATAAGTGCTCAATAAATATTTGTGGAAAGAATAAATAGATGAATAAATCTCCATTCCCACATAAGTCATTTTTCCAACCTTCAGTCATTCATTCCACAAATAGATATTGAATTCCTACCATATGCTAGACACTGTGTTAAGGGTACAGTGGTAATCAAAATAGACATAGTCTTGTTTTCAAAGAGCTTTCTGGGAGTAGAAAGGAGAAACAAACTTAAACACTGAATACATATGTATAATCATCAAGAATTTTGAAGAAAGGAATACCTAGGAAGACCTAGTTTAATATCCACATATTTGTGAGTTTCCCAAATTTTTTCTAGCTTTTGATTTCTAATTCCATTTTGGTTGGAGAACATAGTTCATATTATTTCTTTCTTTTTAAATTTATTGAGGTTTATGGCTAAGCAAGGTGGCTCACACCTGTAATGCCTGCATTTTGGAATGCCAAGGTGGGCGGATCACCTGAGGTCAGGAATTCGAGACCAGCCTGACCAACATGATGAAACAGCATCTCTATTAAAAATACAAAAATTAGCCAGGGAACATGGTGGCGGGTGCCTGTAGTCCCAGCTACTCGGGAGGCTGAGGCAGGAGAATCGCTTGAACCTGAGAGGCAGAGGTTGCAGTGAGCCAAGATTGCACCATTAGCACTCCAGCCTGGGCAACAGAGCAAGACTCCATCTTAAAAAAAAAACAAAAAGTACTGAGGTTTCTTTTATCACCTAGCATGGTCTATTCTGGAAAATGTTTCATGTGTACTTGAGAAGTGTGAATATTTGTCTATAGACACTTATTAGGTCTAGTTGGTTTAGAGTGTTGTTCAAGTCTTTTATTTCCTTGTTGATCCTCTGTCTAGTTGTTCTACCATTATTAAAAGTGAGGTATTGAAGTCTCCTGCTATTATTATTGAATTGTCTAATTCTCCCTTCATTTCTGTCAGTTGTTGCTTTGTGTATTTTGGTGCCTTCTTATTAGGTACATATGTGTTTTTAATTGTTATCTTTTCCTGACAGATTAACCCTTTTGTCATTAAGAAATATCCCTATCTCTAGTAACATTTTTTGCCTTCAAGTCTATTTTGTCAGATATTAACATAGCCACTCCACCTTTCTTGTGGTTGCTGTTTGCAAGATCATCTTTTTCCATCCTTTTACTTTTCATTTATTGTGTCTTTGAATTTAAAATGCCTATCCTGCAGACAGCATATATTTGGATCCTGTTTTTTAATCCAGTCTGACAGTCTCTGTCTTTTGATTGGACTGCTTTATTCTCTCACATTTATTTTTATTATCTGTATACTGGGAATTACATCTAATTCTAGTCTACTTTTGGACGTCTGTATGTCTCAATGTCTATTTTTTCCTCTGTTCTTACTTTATGCTTTCATTTGCATTTAGTCATTAAGTGAATATTTTCTAATGTAGTATTTTTGTGATTGCTTTGGGATTTATGAACAGCTTCAGATTTATACTAGCTTAATTCCAGCAATATTGCTATGGTTTGAATGTTTACCCCCAAAGTTCATGTGTTAGATGTTTAATTTCCAATGCAACAGTATTAGGAGATGGGGCCTAATAACACGTAATTCAATCATGAGGGCAGAGCCCTTATTAACGGATTAATGTCACTAGCATGGGAGTGGGTTAGTTATAGCAAGAATGAGTAATTATAAAATAAGTCTGACTGCTGGTGCCTTTCTCTGTATCATGCCCACTTCTGCCTTCCATCTTCCACCATGAGATGATACTCAGCAAATGCCATTGTCATGCTCTTGGACTTCCCAGCCTCCATTACCATGAGCCAAATAAACTTCTATTGTTTATAAATTACCTAGTCTGTGGCATTCTGTTATAGCAGAAAACAGACTAAGACAGATATATAGAAGTATTACTTTTATATAGCTCTATTCCCTTCCTCCCTTCTATAGTATTATTATACATATTATATCTATTAATGTTATATACCCAACTATACTTATTACAGGTATTACTTTACTGTCTGTAGTCATTTTCTCAGCACAGTACAATTATGCTCCCACTAATCTTTGTGCTGTTATTGGCAAATATATTACATACATATTACCTTCCTGTAGGTTACAGGCCCAACGTTATAGCATGTACATCTTATTTTATATAATTGCTTTTTAAAATCATTTCAGAGGGAAGAAGAAACAATACATTTATACTGGTTTTCAAATAAATAAATGTCCAATATAAATCTGGATTTTTAAAAATACTTACACAATTACCTTTACTCTTTGTTTTTTCATGTAGATTTAAATTACCATCCAGGGACAGTTGCTTCAACTTGAAGAATTGTTAGTATTTCTTGTGAGGCGAGTCTATTGGCAACAAATTCTCTCAGTTTTGTTTGTCTGAGAAAGTTTTCATTTTACCTTCATTTTTGAAAGATAGCTTTTTTTGGTTAACTATTTTTTCTTTTTCTTTTTTTTTTTTTTTTGAGACAGAGTCTCACTCTGTCACCCAGGCTGGAGTGCAGTGGCACGATCTCGGCTCATTGCATCTTCCGCCTCCCAGGTTCAAGCGATTCTCCTGCGTCAGCCTCCCGAGTAGCTGGGACTACAGGTGCGTGCCACCACGCCCAGCTAATTTTTTGTATTTTTAGTAGAGATGGGGTTTCACTGTGTTAGCCAGGATGGTCTCGATCTCCTGACCTCGTGATCTGCCCACCTCAGCCTCCCACAGTGCTGGGATTACAGGCGTGAGCCACTGTGCCCAGCCCTATTTTTTTCTTTGAGTACTTTAAATATATATGTCATTACCTTCTGCCCTCCATTGTTTCTGTGGAGAAATCAGTCATTAATTTTATTGGGGTTCCCCTTGTAAGTGATAAGTTGTTTTTCTCTTACTCCTTTCATGATTTTCTCCTTGTCTTTTGACCTTCAACATTTTTGTTGTAACTTATCTATTTTGTGGATCTCTGTGTTTATTTTCTAATAGTTGGAGGACATTG